AGGGAGATTTTGACTTCCTGTATTATAGACTTCATTTCTAACAGTTCTGTTTGACTCTTTTGTAAAGCATGTAATTCCTCTTTTAGATCTTGCAAGAATTTCCTCACCTCCTGGAACTCGTCAACTTCTTTCTCCTTTCTGTTTAGTAGTTCATTGTCTCTCTTCTCTTCCATCTCAGTTAGCTTCGCCATTATGAATGTTCTAAATTCTTTATCAGACATTTCCATGATTTGCATTGAACTGCTTGTGGATGAAGAGGAGTTATTCTTTTCCCTTGGAGTAGAGGTATTTTCTTGCTTTCCCTTATTTCTTGTGGTCCTGCGGTGATTTCTAGTCATCTGATGGATGGTGTGTTTCTTCCTAATTCTTGAAGTTCAATCTGAACATTCAGGAGCAAGCAGAAAGAGGTGATCGGGAATCTCTCTGTCATTCTACTGTGATTGCTTTGTGCAGTAGATTCAGTAGATATTGAAGAATATGTTAACCCTAATAATATTTGGATGTTTAGCTACAGTGCTCTTAGATCCATCACGCTAGCTTGTTTGCTGGAGGGTGAATTATCAGTAGAAAATCTTCATTTCTCTTGTACCCTAAATGGACTATTTTGCAGGAGCCATGAGGGATCTTCTCCTGAAGGCCTGGCCTCTCCTGCTTCAGGGCATTAAGATCCACCGCAGCATGCCTGTACGCCACCAATACAAGGGATTTTCAAAATTTTTATGGAAAATCCATACGTGATCTGGTAACCTAAGAAGAGAAACAGACCAAATATCCAAAACAGGACTTTATGTGGGCATAAATTTGAGAACTGCATCACAGTACAACCTGGATGAGCAAAATTGCCAGATATGCTCACCGAGGTTTTAGCATCCTCAGATAGATTTTAAAGGCAAAATCACAAACGGGAGATGAAAAGGTGAGGGGATTATACTGATTGTTTTGGGACAATTATCCTTAGCTACCAGGATCAATAACAAGGGCAGAGTCAGTCCAAGGTTAGACAGACAATCTCTGGGCAGATGTTTTTGCAGCAGAAATCCGAGTGTCAGGTTACACTGGTCTTTGCACAAGGTTGTGATTCTGGCAGAGTTCTCTAAATAAGCTCTTACCAGGCATGTTAGATGAGAAAACACCTCCTCCATGGCTTTCCTCCCTTGATTTAGTCAGGATTGACATAAATGACTGCATTTTGATTCTGAAAAAACTTAGAGATTTCAATATACACATATTTTTTTGCTCCAAAATAAACTAGTACTTTAAATCCATTTTTTCTGGGAACATTTTAGACAGAAAGCGAGCAATCACCTGCCCCCCATCCCCCCCCCCCCGGGGGGGGGATGGCCACGCCGCAATCCCTTCTCCTTCATTCTCCTCTCGGGATCTTGGGCACACACGCACATGCACCTGGCGCGAGTTTAAGCCACCAGGTCCGGGACTTGAACTGTGGTCGACTACATGGGAATCCAGCGACATAGCCATTACACCAACTGCTGGTCCCTCTGGGAACATTTTGAAGACCCCTTGGAAATTCTTGAAGGCACCCTGTATTTGGATTGTGACCTGTAGACTCAAGCTAAGCTTACTGCCACTTTTTCACATTTGCTGAAAGTCTAAAGAAGATCCTAGGTTAAGGATCTCTAATTTGGAAAGTGTACATGATGTGAAGCTGGGCTGCTATGTTAAAGATAAATGATAGCAAAGAGAGGGAGAGAGGCAGGCAGCCAAAAAATCTTAGACATACTCTTGTAACATGAGAAAGGTGGGTAGCTGACAGCAGGCAGCCTCAGGTTGTTGCAGTCAGTCCTTGGGAGATGCTAATAATCTTTTGGTATTTGTCCTATAGGAACCTTCATGGCCTAATTGCCTCTTAAAGACCTCACCTCTTAATAGCATCACATAGGCAACATCTGTATTTTGGAGGAGACATTTTGAACAGTAGCATTTATTCATCTGTTGATGAACATTTGGGCTAATTCCAATTTTTGGCTAATATAAATAAAGCTGCTGTGAACATTCATAGGGGCACAGGTGTTTGTATATAGATGTTTCCTTTTCTTTATTACATAATAGGTACCATTCTATAGGCATATCTCTGACATTTACTTTTTTTCACTGTATAAGATTATTTTTTTCACATAGTACAGATGGTTTTCAACTTACACTGGTTTGACTTAAAACTTTTCAACTTTATTGTGGTGCAAAAGCAATGCACTTGTAGTAACAGAAGAAACATATTGAACTTTTGAGTATCCATACGACCATTCAGTTTTTCACTTTCAGTACAATATTCAATAAATTACATGAGATATTCAACACTTTATTATAGAATAAGTTTTTTTTTTCTTTAGATATCTTTGCTATAGGGCATGTGTGCTTGCCAGAGAGACAGAGACAGAAAACAAGAAATCACCCCCCAGGGGGGATGGCCATGCTGCAATCCCTTCTCCTTCATTCTTCTCTTGGGATTTGGGCACACATGCACATCCACCCAGTGTGAGTTTTAAGTCACCAAGCCCAGGACTCAAGCTGCGGTCAACTACGTGGGGGTCCAGAGACATAAACATTACGCCAACTGCTGGACACCCCCCCCCCATAGAATGGGCTTTATATTAGAAGATTTTGTCCAACTATAGGCTAGTGTCAGTGCTCTGAGCATGCTCAAGGTAGGCTAGGCTAAGCTATGATATTCAGTAGGTTATGTGTATATTAAACACATTATAATTTTATGATATTCTCAACTTAAAATGGCTTTATTAGGATGTAACGCCATCATAAGTCAAAGAGCATATATGTTCTAGTGCATCGATGTCTCATAGCTTCTTCATGTATTTCTATATATGGACATTTAGGTTGTTACCAGTTATAGACACTGTTGCAATTAATAACCTGTGTATATATATTTTTGAATTGTTAATGGTTTATTTTCATCTACTTTAAAATCCCATTTGTATTTTAGATAATAGCAGGGATGGCAAGTGTAGATACTAGATTTTGTATAGGAAGCAGCGGATAGTAGGGAGTGGGAAGGAGGGGCTCAGGGATAAAACATTTAACAGACACAAGAATATAAAGTTCTCTGTTGAAAGTGATATATATGGTAACATCTTTGACTTGATACATGCACTGCATGCATGCCTTGAAAAACCATTTTGTGTGCTATAAAGATGTATAATGATTAAATGTAAATTAAAAAAAAAACAGGCCAAAAAAATCCCATTGTGGGCTGCGTGGTGGCACTGTGGTAACACAACTGAAACCACATAGGAAAGGTCCTGGTCTGTATCCTTGGACCTCCCTGAGCATGCTGGGCTTGTGTGTGTACCTGTGATCAGAGTCAGTTGAGACTGGGGGTAGACTGAGGCATGAAGATCTTGTTGGGGGTGCCCCTCTGTTTCTGTATGTGCATCTCTCACGGAAGGAGTAAATTTTTTTGGTTAAAATCTTATTTGTAATCATTAACCCATGATGAGTTAAACAGAAAACAAAATCAAAACAGAAAAGAATTAAACACAGGCTGAATTTCTAAGAAAAATTATACACACTTTTACAAACTTCCTGTACTAAAGGGTTTTCAGCTTTTAGAAACCATGTATCAGTGTACCAATGCAAAGAATGCATTGAAGTACATGGAACTTCAAGATACAAGGCCCCATACTGGTACTCTGGGTTGCAAAGTGCTTTCCAAAATTTCAGTGGTCATTGGCGACAGGAAACCAGAGACCAGGGTGCTGAGTAGTTAGCCATATGAGTGTTGAAATCATTAAGAATGACAGGAAAAGTAGGGTGATCAGGGTGCTGGGTAGTTAGCCATATGAGTGTTGAAGACAGTAAGAATGACAAGAAGACAGAGAGTGGGTTAAGACTTGGTAAAGTCTTCACAAATGAGGATAGTGACCAGGAGGATGACAGAAGACTGCCATTCCTATGCGGAGAGGGTGATATACCAGATGGTGTGAGTCAAAGAAGAGTCAGAAATTTCTTGACAGGGTGGAGAAGCAAAGATCAGAAAGTGGTCTAGGGAGCAAGGAGAGGTCCAAGTCTGCCCCTTGGCACTCCCTAAGACATTTACCGATGGGGAGATGAAAGAATAAACAGCTGTACTTCAAAGAGATCAGCAGACAGGCAAAATTTCAATTACAGCAGAACATGGACAGAATGTTCTGAGGAGAGATTTGAGGCTGTAGGACTTAGCCCAAAATGGATTTGGACTAGAACTCTACTCATACCCTCACTCTAACCTATTATGTCCCACTGTGCCTATGGTCTGGGTTGACTGGGATGGGGGTGCATTGTAATGTGGGGACGCTTTCAGGGATGCCTGTCTCTCTCTCTCTCTCTTTCTCTTGGAAGAAATAAACTTTTAAGAAACTGTCTTTCTTTAGGCCACTAGATATAAGCTTCATGAGGATAGAGAGTTTATCTGTTTTAGATACCTTTATATTTCGGTTATTAAGATGACAGTAGACTGAAAGTGATTTATCAGCATAAAGTGTAAAAGTGTTAAAGCTGGTCTGGCCTTGTAGCACAGTGGTTAAGTGCTGAAAACCATGCAGGGCACATATGCATACATGTCTAAAATCCTGATGGGATAGAGAAATGGAGGAAAAAGTATTGTGGTGTGACCATGCCCCATTGGGGGTGCTCTCTCTCTCTCTGTCTCTCAGGAGCACATAAATCCCTTGGAAACAGAAAAAAAAAAGGTGTTAAAGCTATGGCAAATTCACCTTGTGGGTAAATTCACCTTGTTTCATGTTTTCAAGCTGTTGCACCAGTATCAAAGTATTATTGCAGAGACTACGTACCAATATCTCCTACATTCCCCAACTTTCCTTTTAGCTAATTAAATTAGGGCCACGTGGTTTTGTTCCAACAATGGAATGTGCATGGGGTTGATAATTGCCACTTCCAGACCTGGTCCATATAATATCCTTCATGAGTTTTCATGCTAAATCTCTCTGCTGTTGGTGCAGCTAGAAGCAAAGATTTTGAAACAGTGGAGCACAATGCAAGGAACCTGGATCCCTGAGTTGACCACTCAGAGGAAAACCAATCTGAAGAGTTGCTCAGACAAAAACTGCTTCACAAGACTTTCTGTGAGTGGGAAATAAAAATTTGGCTAAGCCACAGAAATTTCAGCATTTCTTTGTTACCACAGCAGAGTCTAGCCTACCTTGACTAATATATCTACACACTGTTGTCCACAGGAAAACCCTCTTTTTTTGGAGAGGTTTTTGCTATAGGGCGTGTGCCCTAACCAGAAAGACAAAGACAGAGAGACAGAAAGTGAGAAATCACCCCCCCGGGGGGTGGTCACGCCGCAATCCCTTCTCCTCTTGAGATCTTGGGCACGCACACACACGCGCCCGGCGTGAGTTTTAAGCCACCGGGTCCGGGACACAAACCGTGGTCAACTATGTGGGAGTCCAGCGACATAGCCATTACGCTAACTGCTGGTTCCCAAGAAAACCTCTTCACCCAAGTTCCATGTGAAGATTTATGAAAGTATTTAATGCTTGTAAGTTATATTACAGTTTTTTTCTCAGTTTTATGATGAGATGGGTAATGACCATAAATATTCTTTGAAATGTTTTTATATATTTTAAAATTATTATTATTATTTAAATTTACTATACATTGTGTGTGCTCACTGGAAAGAGGCAGAGGGGAGAGAGAGAGAGAGAGAGAGAGAGAGAGACAGAGAGAGACAGAGGAAGAGGAGAGAGAGGGGAAAGTGAGAAAGCACCCCT